GGGACTGCAAGTGATAAGATAGTCCCTGACTGAGCTCAGAGAGTCAGGGAGGCGGGTAACTATGAAGTGGAGGGTCCAGTACATTGGAGGCGGGTTCTTAGCACAAAACTCTGTGGGGAGGGCGGCGCGAAGGCGAGTGTCGTTAGTGCGAAGGTGGGTGATGAGATCGACAACCGTGGCAAAGGTGGATAGCTCAGGAAACAGGTAGGGCAGCATGAGGCGGCTAAGCTCAGCTGTGGCAGGAGAGGTGTATTGAGCCACTACAGCGTCGTAAAGGGCCTTAGCGGTCTTGTGCTCGCCAAAGTGCGTGAGCTCAGCTAACGGAAGGTGGTTGCGAACGGCTAGGCGAGCAGCAGCGTCACGAGTCTGCCATTGGGAGCGGGCACTAAGCTCAGCGGTGGCAGCGGGAGCGACTGAGGCACCAGACATGTGGTCATAGAGCGAGACATTGTCCTTGCTATCGCTCATCAGGAACAGCTGCAGGTCATCAAGCCAGGCGTCGAACTGAATCGGGCGGCCCTCGGCATCGAACGACAGAACGCGGAGGGTGGCCATAGCTGCTGGCAGGGCAGAGCGATTGCATGCAAGCGGCAGTAGCAGCAGCGAGGAGGAGGAGCTGTAGCAAGTAGGAGCAACAGCAGCAAGAAGGAGCAGTTGCAGCAAGTAGTAGCAGCTGCAGCAAGGAGGTGCAGCTGCAGCAAGTAGTAGCAGTTGCAGCAAGTAGTAGCAGCTGCAGCAAGTAGTAGCAGCTGCAGCAAGTAGTAGCAGCTGCAGCAAGGAGGAGCAGCTGCAGTAAGTAGTAGTAGCTGCAGCAAGTAGTATCAGCTGCACCAAGGAGGAGCAGCTGCAGCAAGTAGTAGCAGCTGCAGCAAGTAGTAGCAGCTGCAGCAACGCTGATGCAGCAGCGCTGGTGCAGCAGCGCGTTAGGAGTTCAGGCGGCGCGCGGGGCGTAGCAGGCAGCCGCGGCAGGAGCAGGCGGCGCACGGGGCTACATGGCCTACGCGGCTGCTGGCGGGCGGCGCGCAAGTCGGCAGGAGCTGCGCGCGGGCTGCGCGGACTGCGAGCGGGTCACGCCAGCTCCTAACGGGCGGTGCGCGGGCCAGCAGAGGCGATTAGCGGGTCGCGCGGGCTACTAACGGGCAACGGGCGAGCCGCACGGGCTGCTAGCAGGACGCGCCCGGGGCTAGGGCAGTACGGGGCGCGGGGTAGCTCGAGAACCGTTAGTGGTAGGTGGTGGGCCCGAAAAAAATTGTTCCTAAGGTCCTAAGGACCCATTGCTTTTAATACCATGTTAGAGTTCTATGTGGGGATGTTTGACTATCGAGGGAGTTGGGTACAAGGATGAGAACTCTAAGGGGTTGTACCCTAGATGAGCTACCCCACTAAAGCCTAAACCTAATTATAAATCATATATAGTTTGACACGGGACCCCCCCCCCCCCCTCCCCCCCCCCCACCCCTCCTCCCTGTCAGAATATTATGCTCTAGCCTGTAGTGGGGTACTCTATAGCGAGTACAACCCTTCTAGGGTTTGCTATTTGTATCCTCATTCTTGCTAGTGCAACCCCCTCTCTTCTTTCTTCTAAACTTTCACATGCTATCAGAGCAGGTCGATCCCCTTGGATCGATCCTGTGGGTGGGCTCACCACCTCGTTGCTTCCGCTGCAACTAGCTATCACTACTCTCTGTGCCGCACGCCCCGAGGCGCGCGGCGGTTTTCTGCCCGCCGTGCGCCCCGAGGCGCGCGGCGGTTCTCTTCCCGCCGTGCGCCCCGAGGCGCGCGGCGGTTTACTGCCCCGTCACGCCGCGCGCCGCTCCCGGGAGGCGCTGCGACGGGCGACGGGGACCTCCGCGTCGCCCCCCCCGTCGCCCGTCGTGGCCTGCGCGCGGCCCGTACAGCCTGCGTGCGGCACGTATGGGCCGCGCCAGACCCGTCCGCGGCCCGTACGGGCCGCGCCAGGCCTACGCGCGACCCGTACGGGCGGCGCCAGGCCCTCGCGTGGCTCGCGCCGCCTGCGCGCGGCTCGGGCGACCCTACCTGCGGCCCTGGCCCCGGCCCCGCCGCCCTACCTGCGGCCCCGTCGTCCCGTCGCCCTACCTACGGCCCGGCTCCGTCGCCCTACCTACGGCACCGCCCCCCCCCCCCCCCCCCCCCCTTTTCCCGTCGCCCGTCGCGGCTCCTTCGGGGGCCGCGACCTGGGGGGTGGCGGGTGTGTAGTCTCCCCTGCTCCTCCTCCTCCTCTGTCTCCCACTGCTGCAGCTACCGCTGAGGGGGGTGGGTGTGTGGGATTTGACGGAGTGGTGCTAGGGGGTGGGGTGAGAGTGGAACTAGGGGTGTAGCAGCGGGTGTGTGTCAGGGGGAGTGGGATAGTTTGGGGAAGCTGAATGGAGGTTGCCGTCGTGTCGCCAGCAGCACCTGTATTCCGGGGACTTCGTCCGGTAGCCCAGTCGTAGCCAGCTGTGCCAGCCGCCCGTGGGTCCGTTGCTCGTCTGCCGCTACTTTAGCCGCGGGGCCAGTTACTCCAGTATTCCGGAGCGTTGTTCCGGTAGCCGCTGTGCCAGTGTGCCTCCTGTTTCCCGTGTGTCTGCAGCTTCATCCGTCGCCTCCTATCTCCTCTCCTCTCACTCTCTCTCCTCCTCCTCACTTGCCCGTTGTGACTACCACTAGCTTTGCTCATAATTGTGAACTTTAAACTATTGCTTCTTGAACTTGTGCTCAGAATGTGTGGTGACATTGTGATCCACCTTGAGCTTGTACTGCTTTGCTTGCTCTGCTGATTACACCCCACTTTGGCTATGGGGGTGTGTCAGAATATTATGCTCTAGCCTGTAGTGGGGTGCTCTATAGGGAGTACAACCCTTCTAGGGTTTGCTATTTGTATCCTCATTCTTGCTAGTGCAACCCCCTCTCTTCTTTCTTCTAAACTTTCACACTCCCCTCCCCCCAAAAAAACGCGTCAGGGCGGGCCTCGACATTCATCCTGACGCTACATGGAAGAACACTACGGCCATCCTGAATGTTCAGGGCAGTTCATATAAAACATCCTGACAGCTCAGGGTTAAAATTGACAACATTCTGAAATGACAAGGTAAATCCAAAACTGCATCTTGAATTCAGTGTAATCAGGGTGTTTTGCCATGATAACGTGAGGCCTGGCCACATCAGTGGTGTTATGCATGCAGAATCGTTAAATTTGGCGCAATCAGGTTTGGCAGGAAAGCGCTTGTCACCAAACCTTGATAGGCAGAAGCCCACTTATCGGGGAAGATTCTGCGGACCCAGTTTCTGGCAATTTAACGCCTGCAGAACAGCGCCACTGAAAAACACGTGAATGATGACCAGCCGCACGAATGAACACAAATGTTGGGATTGCTGGGTGCGACCAGGTTAGAATGGGCGTGCGTGTACGGTATTTGTTCCACATGGCACCAGGTTGCAAAAACTTGCATATGCTCAACAGAGGAGTGTATTCTCCCAATAGTAGGCAACCATTGCAAGACTACCTGTTTTGCAATTAAGACATCCTGAGTTACTGAATTTCCGGTATGCACGGTCCTTCAAAAATTATGGAGAGAGGAGGCCATGGGAGGGGGGGAGTCACCTCGTGCAACCAGGCTTTTGTATTGGAACCAAAGAATGTTGAATAATTTCAGTATCAGCTCTTACTTAGGTATTTTTGTTTTCACATGATAGCATTAACAAATTATGACTATAACTGCAACTTTATTCATATCTCAGACTCATAAGTATGGATTTAATGCAAGAGACAGCACCATATAAAGAAGTATGCTTTGGGTAATTGGATGAATGATTGCATTATTCATTGGTCTTCAAGTCAGCAGAGCTGTGTGGTACACGCATATTCCCTTTTTAGGTCGCTCGTGTGGCCTGACAGGAGCGTTATTGTGGCGGTGGGAAGCGAACACGAGTGGTGGTCCCACATTTACCGCGCCTTTTCCCGCGTCGTGCCTATATATGTGTCAGAAGTCAATGTGGCCGGGATGACGGGAGGGAGGGAGCGGAGAGGGAGGAGTCGACATTTTGCACTTTGGGCCGACATGGCGGGTGTAGGGGCTGAGGGGAGGGAGGGAACGCGAATGTTAAAGCTGGCCCAAATTGCAGAGCGCGCGGGGCAAGATTACCAAAGTTGATGAAAGTGATGTTTTGAGTGTTGTTTGGCTGCGAATTGTGGTTACGTGAAGTGCGATGCAATTTGATTGGGCAACAGTTTTTTGTCGAATAGGAGAGAAGGAAACACCAAGAATATTGTGAGTGCAATTTGGGACTCGAGAACCAAACCGAGTTTCTCCCTGGGGTTTGCTGAGTCAGCGAAAACCCTAAGGGTGTAGCGAGAAGCTGGGCGAAACTAAACAGCCCAACTTCAACAAAGTCAACCTTACTCTCCCACCAACCAAACGACAACCTTAGTAAGGTTGAACAATTTGGGCCTTGAGTTTTAAGTGTCAGTGTGCTTTCAGCTCAACCAGGTAACGACGACGCACCTACTATACCGACTATATTCACCGCCGACAACCGAAAGGCGAAATTCTTACCGACTCGATTGGCTTCTCCTGCCGATGTGTACACTCAGATGCTTGTTGCAGATTGCTTCTGTGCGGTAACGATTTAGGTGCTGTTGGGCATTTGAGTTTTTGCAGTTTGCACGTTCAGTTCGGCCATCATCGTCCCCATCGTGTTGGTTATCGAAGCTGCAATGCCCGTGTAGGACCATGCCGCTCCTTGTAAGAATAGGATGTTGCGAAACGTTGAATAGAGCGCCTGTTAGCAGCTCAGCCCCTCCCTTCCCTCTGCCTCGAGACCTCCGCGCACCGCCTCCGTCTCTGGTCATTACGTTCTTGCTACTGCTCTTCTCCACACCCACGCCCGCGTTTCGTGCCAGCAACCGCATCGCTGCAGCCGTGGACTCAAATGGCCTCTCACCCTCCCACTCCAGCACACCCTCCTCCGCCGCTGCGCCACCTGATGCCGCCACGCCGCCGATGCTCCTCGGCTCTCATCGGCCTTCGGGGGATGCTATAGGAGGGGAAGCCTCAGGGGGGAAAGCGACACAGGGGGAATCCACACGGGGGGAAGCCGCACGGGGAGAAGCCACGCATGCTGAAGTAAAAACACGAGGGGAAGCTACGGAGAGGGAATCCACGCAAGGGGAAGCCACGCGAGGGGAAGCCACGCAAGGGGAAGCCACGCGGGGGGAAGCCACGCAAGGGGAAGCCACGTGGGGGGAAGCCACGCAAGGGGAAGCTACGCGGGACGTAAAAGTGCGCGAAGCTGCGAGCAATGACGGGTTGCGGCAAGGGTCGGAGTCACAGGAAGCGTTTCCGCCATGCACCAGTGAACCTCGGCCGCGCTGGTGGCTGCTGGGCGCGCTGGCTCGCGCGGCCGCGGAGGCCTTCAACGCCACCTCGCCGCTCGCCGCCATGGAATTTCGCCACGCTCGCGCCGCCGATTCCACCGGCCCGCCCTCAGTGCGCTCCTCCTCTGATCTGCCTCTCGTCGTCGCGATGGCCGGCGACTTCCTCGCCGGGAACTTGAGTGCGAGTCGGGAAAGGAAGCGCGTGCGGCGCAGCGGTAGGATGAACCCCTTTTTGCGGAGCAGCAGAAGCATGTTGTCGACAGCCCAGCGCCGCCCTCCGCCACCCGCTGCTCGACGGACACCCGCTCGAAGAACACCGTCACTGCCGCCGCCCGCTGCTAAGGGGCAGACGCCGCTACCCGAGATCTCTTCGCGGTCGCCCTCTAAGAGCGCTGGCGGGTCGCCGGGGAGGAAAGCTGAGAGCCAGCCCAAGAATGCGCCGCCGTCGCCGGCTAAGAAGGGCCGGAAGAAGAAGCTCGCGTCTCCGCCACCGGCGCCGCCGCCGCGCAAAAGGGGCAGAAAAAGGCGACCGCCCCCGCCATCACCGCCCGCTGCTCGAAAGCCCCCGAAACAGAGAACTCCCACTGCTCCGTCGCCGCCCCCACCTAGAGGCTCTCGCAATCCCGCGCAAAAGCCCCCCAGGAGCCCTCCCCCTCCCCGCCCTCCTCGCCCCCCCAGTCCCCCTCCGCCTTCTCCTCCTCAGCCGCCCAGACCTCCGCCTTCACCCCCATCCCCCCCCGCGCCCCCTTCTCCTCCCCCGTTCGGCGTACAGTCCCCCGACTGCCAGTACGGCGCAGAAAACTCGCTAGCGGAATGCGCGATGGGGTACGCGGGCGCGGCGGGTGTGCGCGGAGCACAGGCGCTGGGGTTGACGCGGTACACGGTGGACAGCGAGTTCGACACGCTGGACGGGTCGCAGATGGCGGTGGGCACGCTGCGGTGGGCCGTGACGTACCTGCGCGAGGGCGCGTACATTCAGTTCGCGCGCAGCATGGAGATCGTGCTGCAGGGCAGCCTGTACGTGCGGTCGCGCACGACGATCGACGGGCAGGGCTTCCACGTGCGGCTGAGCAACGGCACGCTGCTGCTGCAGAACGCCGTCGACGTCGTCGTGCACAACGTCGAAGGTGAGCCGCGCGCGCGTGGAGGCCGTGCCGTCATTTGCGCGCTGGGTTCCGCGTGCATGCAAGCGACGCGCGTGCTCACCTCTCCTGTGCATGTTCCCTAACCCTTGCCCTTCCGTACGAACCCACTTCACCCTCGCTCTCCCCCTCGGTGGTGTGGGCAGTGAGCGGCGCGGCGAGCAACCTGATAATGGTGTACAACAGCAGCAAGGTGTGGGTGGACCACTGCCGCCTCGTGGACGGGCGCACGGGCACCGTGGACGTGGGCAAGGGCAGCACTGACGTCACCATCTCCAACTGCTACATCAGCAGCCCCACGCCCACCATGCAGGTAACCCTCTCGCCTCGCCCTGTAATGTGCAACGCTTACTGGTTGATTGGAAGGCGAGAGTGGACGTGCATATGAGCAAGGGACTGTGTGCGGTGTGGCAGGTGACACATGTTCATTCGTGCAGCCCTGCCCCCACGCACACACACGCACACACACGCACACGCTCCTGCGCAAGGTGCATTAGGTGACCACGTGGCTCTGCCCCACCACCCATTTACCATTCCCTCCCACCCGCATCGCTTCCCCCCTCTCTCTCGCGTCCTGCACACCAACTCCTGGCACTGCCCACTGCAGCTGGGGCTGTCGGACGGGGAGGAGGCGGACCGCATGATGCGAGTGACGCTGTACCGCAACTGGTTTGACTCCTCCTACGCCATGCAGCCGCTGTGCCGCAAGGGCTCCTGCCACGTGGCCGCCAACCTGTACACGCGCTGGACGTCCTTCTGCCTGGCGGCGCGCAGGGGCGCTGTGGTGCGGTCCGAGAAGAATGTGTTCCGCGCGGACCCCGCAAAGCGGCAGGAGGTGACGGCGTGGTACGATGGCATGCTGCCCACGGACAGCAACTACGACACCACTGCCACTATTCGCTCCGTGGACGACTTGCTGCTCGCGGGTGCCACGTTCCACCAGTGGGTGGGGGCCAATGCACTCTTCACGCCGCCCTACTACCTGCCCTTCTTCCGCAACACGCGCCTGCTGGAGGCTTTTCTTATGGTCAACTGCGGCCCCAAGTACGACACTGTCGTCGCTCTCCCCCCTGCCTCGCCCCCGCCCTCCCCACCACCGTCGCCCCCTCCTCCTCCCCCATCCCCTCCCCCGCCACCATACGTCCCGCCCCCACCCGTCCCTCCGCCACCCCCTCCGCCATCCCCCCCGCCAGCGCCGCCCCCGTCGTCGTCAGACTGCCAGTACACTGCTGCGGCATACGGTGCGGGCATACTGGCGTGCGCCATGGGGTACGCAGCGGGGGATCAAGGCACGGGGCTGGCAGGCATAGCGGCGGTGCCCGAGTATGTGGTGACGCTGGATGAGGACGCGGCGAGCAGCAGCCGGCAGGGGTCGCTGCGGTGGGGCTTGGCCAACTTCAAGGGCCGCGTGCGCATCTCGTTTGCACGCTCCATGACCATCCGCCTGGCCGCCGTGCTGTACGTGAAGTCCAACACCATGATCGATGGCAGGGGCGTGCGCGTGACACTCACGGGCGACAGCATCGTGGTGGTGCACTCGTCGCAGGTCGTGCTGCACAACATTGAATGTGAGTGCCAACGTTGCGGAGAAGCAGGGGAAGAGCTAGCAGGCCACTATGATCTCCCTGATCCACTAGGTTCTCATGCAGTACCAGCCCAGTACAGCCATGACTGGTGTTTTCCACCCTATCTGCACCCGTTTCCACCATCTTGCACCGTCTCTAGAGCACCGCAATTCCGTGGATTGTAACAGCCTCTCCTGGTGCATGTGGTTCTTCTTATTCCCCTTCCCACCAGTGGCATGCAACGCAGCGAGCAGCAGTGCGCACGTGGTGCTGTACAACAGCACGAACGTGTGGCTGGACCACTGCCGCTTCTCCAACATCTCCAAGGCCGCTCTCGACGTCTCCCGCCTCTCCTCCGCTGTCACCGTCTCCAACTGCCACTTCACCCGGGGAGCTCCCTCCTCCGCTGCGGTGCTGCTGGGCAGCAGCGACAGCGACACGTCCCTGGCCTCCCTCACCGCCACGCTGTACCGCAACTGGTTTGACCGCGCCCCGCCCGGCCAGCCCGTGTGCCGGCGGGGCAGGTGCCACGTGGTGAGCAATCTGATGAGCGCGTGGGCAGGGGCGGCCATGGATGCGCGCACGGGCGGGCAGGTGCTTCTTGACAACACCCTCCTCTCCTCTGGCGCTGCCTCACAGGCCGTCGTGGCTGCTGCTGCCACTTACCCACCTGGCACTGTGGTTTCCGTGGGGAGTGTGCTCATGGGCGCTGCTGTGTGGGGGCCCGTGGCAGCACCAGGCACCTCCACCTTCACTCCTCCGTACACACTGGCCCCGTCTTCTCCAGACGCCAAGTTTGCCCAGTTCATAAGGAGCAATGCTGGCCCACATGAGTGGTGACATTTGCACCGGCCTCTCTTTTTCGCCTCATGGTCGAGGCTCCAGCACAAAGCATCTTCGAGATTTGCACCACTAGGAAGCATATACACTATCTATATGTAATTAAATCTATAATGCTCTGATTATTATTCGTTTATGAACAATGGTGCAAAAGGTGCATATATATGTATATATATATTTCGCGAGATGGAGATTGGCTGTTGACTGGGTGCAAATGTACGACACAAACGCGTCTGTTGATTGCGCAAACCACACATTCAGGTTTTGTGCGCTTTCACTTGTATCCACAACACTACGTGCTGGTGCCTACAGTCGCGCTGTGGCGTCGCCGTGGGCGGCGAGGGTTCGGCGACCGCCATGGCGAGCGACGAAGCGTGGACAGTCGTTTCCAAACGCCGCGCCTCGCGCGGAAGCCGTTCCAGCGGTCCGCGGCCGGAGGGCGCCCAAGGGCCCGTCGGGTGCGCCTCCGCGGAGTCGAGCGGTGGGGCTTGCGCGGAGGTGTCGGGGAGTGCCGCGGATGAGCGGAAGGTGGAGCTTCCGGGATGGAACGTGCGCGGGAATTGGGGGAACGAAGGGGAACGCGAGTGCGCCCCTCGCAGGCCAGGCGTTAAAGGCAAGGGGCGACGCGGCAGTGGCGCGGGCAATGAGGGGGAAAGCGAGGAGTCGCGAGTGACGGCGCGGATGGAGGAGGCGAGGTGAGGGCGGTGGGAGGGGGGGGGGGGGGGGGGGGGGAGGAGAGGATGGAGTATGGGGCATGGCATGTGCGGTGGGGCGTGGCAGCGCTCGTTCCCCACTGCGCGCTCCCTTGACGCCCCTCTTTCTCTCCAATGTCTCCTGCCACCTCGCACGCTCCTTCACCTGCTGTTGGCCATATGATGTTTACCTCCCGCCTCCTACCGTACTTGGCATCAGCCGCCCCATCCATGGCACCCCATCCATGGCACCCCATCCATGGCACCCCATCCATGGCACCCCATCCATGGCACCCCATCCATCAGCACCCTTATCCCCCACCGTTTCAACCCCCTCGTTTGTGGTCATGGCATGGCATGAGTGTGTGGCAGGCGCATGGTGCGGGAGTCGCCGTTCTACAGCAAGCTCAGAGGTGCGCCACCCCACCTTGTGGGGCCGGCCATATCCCATGATCCCTCCTTGCACCCTCGCCCCACTGCTTCCACGCCCTGTCCAACACGCATCTTGCTTCCCCTCACCGTTCAGTCACTTCCCCCACCGCCCATCGCCACTGCTCCCTCATGCATCCCGCTGCTACCCTCCTGCTTGCATCGCTGCTGCAGCTTCGAGCATGCTCCTCACGTGTGCCCTCTCTCCATTGCCGCTCCGTGGTGCCATGCATGCGTGCACGTGCCTGCTTGTGCGCGCATGAATGATTGTGTGTGTGTGCACATGCGTGCATGTGTGTGTGTGTATGCGTGCATGTGTGTGTGCACATGCGTGCATGTGTGTGTGTGTATGCGTGCATGTGTGTGTGCGCATGCGTGCATGTGTGTGTGTGCATGCGTGCATGTGTGTGTGTGCATGCGTGCATGTGTGTGTACGCATGCGTGCATGTGTGTGTGTGCATGCGTGCATGTGTGTGTGTGCATGCGTGCATGTGTGTGTGTGCATGCGTGCATGTGTGTGTGTGCATGCGTGCATGTGTGTGTGCGCATGCGTGCATGTGTGTGTGTGCATGCGTGCATGTGTGTGTGTGCATGCGTGAATGTGTGTGTGTGCATGCGTGCATGTGTGTGTGTGCATGCGTGCATGTGTGTGTGTGCATGCGTGCATGTGTGTGTGTGCATGCGTGCATGTGTGTGTGTGCATGCGTGCATGTGTGTGTGTGCATGCGTGCATGTGTGTGTGTGCATGCGTGCATGTGTGTGTGTGCATGCGTGCATGTGTGTGTGTGCATGCGTGCATGTGTGGGGTGGATCACATTCCTCAGACCAAATGGCATCACTGCGTGTGGCCCATCGCTTGCTGGCAGCGCATCCCCTCTCCGCTCCCTCCGCCACCTCCTCTCCTCCTCCCACCACTCCCCCATCTGCTGCTGCGAGTGCACGTGATCACCCACCCTCTTCGCCCACAGCACCTGCACACGGCCACGAGGGATGTGCCGTGGACAGAGGGGGGAAAGGGGAGGATTGCATGGAAGTGGGAGTGCGGGTGGAGGGAGAGGAAAGGGAGAGGGGAAAAGAGGGGTGGGAGAGGGGAAAAGAGGGGTGGGAGGGGGTGGTGGTGGAGGTGGTGGTGTACGGGGTGGGCAGCATCGCACACTCACCTGTAGCGCGCTGTCAGATGGCCCTGGGGCTGCTGCTCGCCCATGCCCTCCAGGTGACACTCCTGCTCCTACCTCTCCATGCGCCCTGCCCCCTATCCTGCCATTTTTCCTGATCGCCTTCCGTTACGCCTGCTGTCAGCTGCCACCGTATCATCACTGCCTGCCTCTTCTGCCCTCGTGCCGTCAGCCCCGTCGCCCTCTCAGCCCAACCCCCGTCCCGCTGTCCCACCCCATCCACACAGGAGGACCTCTCCCCGCTGCTCCAGCCCCCATGCCCTCCCCTGTCCTCCCCGCCGCCACCCGCGCCCTCCACACATTCCCACCGCACGTCCCCTCCAACGCAGCCAGCCCCCCCTGCTTCACCGCCCTCACCCGTGCCCCAACCGCACGGTGCTATCCCCCATGCATGCGCCCGCCCCCCCCGTGTGCGCGTGGGTGTGTTTGACCCCGTGCTCTCCCCCGCTGAGCTCTCCGCACTCGCCCTGCTGGGCGTGCACTGCCTGCCCTCCAACGAGGTCTGTCGGAAGGGGATCGCCATGGAGGACAAGGGCCAAGGGAGAGGGCGAGATGGGGCGAGGAGGAAGAGAGGAAAGGGAAGAGGGGAGGCATAGGGGGGTAATTGAGAGAACGCAATGCTGACTTGTTGCCCATGTGCTCGTTACCATCCTGCTTCTGAGATTTGCTTGCTAGAGTTGTTTTTGCCAGTTCTGGCATCCTTGCATGGTCCGTACTCTTACATCTCCACTTGCTACGTTTTGCTCTCTCTCTCTCTTTCTCTCTCTCCGTTCTGCATCCGTGTGGCACCAGGAGGGCCGTCGCACGGTGGTTGTGCCAACACTCTTCTACATGCCACACTGCGAGGCGTTCCTCTACAACAATGTGCGCTGCTCCCTCTATTGCCCCCGTCTCATCCGCGCGTGCACGCACTCCGTGTTGAGCTCGCACATCGCTTGCTCTTCACCATTTCCACTCCCCCATGGTCGCCAGCCGGGTTCCTATGGTTGCCCTTCATCCATGCAGCTCTGCAACTCTGTCTCTTCCCCACCCCCTGCCACCAGGTTCTTGAAGCCAATGCCTCTGCTCTCGGTTTCTCCCCCAATCCTCCCACGTCACCGCTGCTGCTCGGAGAATCACCTGCCGAGCTGCCTCCATCCCCAACTCCAGCAGCAGCAGCAGCAGTGGATGATGCGTGTGCTGGCAGCATGGCAGGGTGTGCGCCTGTGGTTATCCTGGGCAACAGCTTTGCCTCGTACGAGGAGAGGTGCACACTGCGGTGGTTGTTGGGGAGAGACGAACCCAGTGGGGACTCATGGGAGTAATACGAGGCGCACATGCTGGTTGGTAGTTACGGTATCATGGTACCCTACGAGTGCTTGTCAATTCACAAGTGTACAATGCGTGGTATGCGCTTGTTGCATGCAATGTGTGTGCAGGTGGAGTGTGGGTGCACAGCCATCCACGCCACGGCCTACCACTCTTCTTCAGGTCAACTCCACACCTGTTCTGCAATGCCCTCATGCGCTTCCGTTCTTCGTGTGTCTCCCCAATGCATCTCCATTGCCCCTCGCTACACACCCCTCACTCTCCATGTTCAGCTCCTCATTGTTTTATGCAAGCTGCGAACCTGTTCCATGCGGTGTGGCAGGCGGTGCAGCGGGGAGTGGTGGAGGAGGTGCCTGTGGATGCTGCTGCCTTCCCCCTCATCTCCGCCTTCAATGACACCAGGCATGTGCTGCACTCACCACACATGCCATGCACCTCCTAATGACATGCACAAACATGCAAAAACATTCCCACACACACACTCACACACACACACACACACCCATGCACACACAATACACCTTTCCTCCATCCCCGTGCCTCTCTCCCACCCTTCCCTTCCAGCTGGCACTTCTTGCATTGCCGTGACAACCACCACATTCTACTGCACAGTCAATCTTAGAGCGTGTTCCTACGACCTCATATCAGGCCACCTCGTATCAAGATTGTACTTTTCGCCTGTTAAAACTAGCGAGATGTTTCGGGTTTAGGGGAATTTTCAGTGTGGCCTGATACGAGGTTTGATTGATACGAGGTGTAGGAGCACACTCTTAGATTGGGGGATTTTATTATCCTTCTACACCAGCACTTGGTCGTTCGTTATTATCTTGCAGCGATCAGTGCACCACTTGCTGCTTTATACAGGTGAACCTTGGGTGGGAAGGAAGATACCGTAAGTTGGTTTTCTTTTCTTTCGTTCTTTAACTTGATTGTTAACCCTTGTATACCAAATAATGTATTGTACCCTTATCAAATGCATCTCTATCGTCTGGCATCCGTAGCTGAACCCTGTGATAGTGATAATCCTCTCTGCCAGATTATCCAGCCCTAAAGGCTAAAGCCCAGTAGTTTCAATGTTCTTTTACATGGGCTGTTGTATGCTTTGCATGTAACATGCTAGCATGTGGTAGACGCGCTACAGCATATTTCCGAAACAGTATTTCCTGCCTATACGCAGGAAGACACCCTCAAATGTGTATATGTCCGGTTCTTGCCCAAATTTTGCTGGACCATCGAGCCCTGGCGGTTACCAAGTTGGTTGTGGCCGGTGGGTGTTTGCTTGGGTTCGGTTGGGTGGTGTGGGGCGGGCAGATGATGAACTGAACGCGCCCCCGTGCGACGAATGGCTGCGGGAGACAGAAACCGTACCCACCCCGTGCTGCCGGGGCAGTGTCCCACAGCACAGTGGCAAACCACCTGTGGTGCATAAGGGGGTGTCCAGCTCGTACATTTACTGTTCGTGAACCCGCTTAGTTACCACATTTTTTGTTGTAACACTGTATTGAACGTGTCCTTCGGACACAATCAGCTTTCGTTCACAAGACGGCACGCCCCCTGCACGTACCTAGAATCGTCTGACTCACGTTACTGGAATCAGCGGGGACGCGAACAAGGGTACAGCACCGCGTCCTGGCCACTACAGTGGTCCCCCCTGAATCGCTTGCGCAATTTCGCCAGTAGCTCGCTACAATCGCCAACACCCCCCCGCCTGCCAAAAAATTCGTTAGCTATGATTGACGAGGGAAACTGTTACCTCGTTTAGAAAGCGATCAGAGCACTGTTGATTCGTGTGGCGGGGAACGTGTCCGCGCTCCTGAAATTAGAGGTAGGTTGGACTCAACTCACAATGCATTCGTTTTTAGGTACAGTGATTATATTTGAGCCTCGAGACGTGTGCTGGCACTAAAAAACCCGAAATGAACGAGCTGGACACGCCCTAACTGTCATGCCAATCGGACTCCACTCCGGCTATGCTATCCATTGCCAGCATTCACAGAGTGACTAGGTGTAAAGTAGAACCGACTAGGCCTCGTTCCTCCGCATTTTCTCCCTGAATTCAAGCTCGTAGCTATGTGGAGGTCCTGTCAAGCTGCGTGCAGCAGGTCATGTTTCTCGCCGACTCGCGACGCGCTGTTCGCAGTGCCGTCCGACCTGTCCGACGTGTCCACCACCTCGCCCGAGCGCCATGACCTCCTCGTCCACTCTGATCCTCCCACACCCCCGCTACGCCTCGCTGCGTTCCCCCTGGAGCCGCAGCTCATGCAGCGCGACGAGTCTTCCGCCAGCGATGCTCTGAATCCACCGCAAGAAGCAGCGGCCGGGGAAGATGTAGTGGCAGCAGGCGGCGCCAGAGACACGGATGCAGCATCGGCGTCGGCTATTAGCCCGCTGGCTGCCGCCTCGCCCTGCATAAGACCACTCTCGTTAGCGCGCGGCGCAGATGCAGCAGGCGATACATTCGCGCTGGCCGACCTCCCGGACTCGCTGCTCTGCGACGTGCTTCGCCACTTAAAGCCCCTCGACGTGCTGCGGGTCGCGCTCGTCTCCCGCGCATTCCGCGATGCCGCTACGGCCGAATCTGTGTGGGACGACAGGCTGCCCGAAAGTAAGGCTCTCCGGAAAGTAGGGTGCTTTCGTGGAGCGAGTATTTTTCAATTCTCTAAAACATCGCCGTGCCGATGCCTGGTGGGAAGGAGCAGTTGTAGGCCAGGTGTATTGACGTAAGAGTCGCGTCAGCAGCGCCTTGTGAGAGTGAAAAAATCCCTTTCCAGGCGCACCTTCACACTGCCATTCTCGCCCATCCCTTCCGCCAACCCCCTTCGTCCGACATTCGTCCCTCCTCTACAGGCCTGTCTCAACTCGTACCGCAGCCAAACCCTTGCCGCATCTCCTCCCGCCTCGCCTTCAGGTCAGTGCCTCCTTGAGTGAACTCTGCAGACCACTTCGGCTCTTGCCATGGCCGCTCGCATTGCCGCACCCCGCCTCACACGCCGTGCGTGCCTTCCCCCCTGTCCTCGCGTGTGGGCGCAGGGCGGTGTGCGAGGGCGTGCACGTGGACGAGGGGCGGCAGCGCGTGGCGCTGCATGCGGGCACGGGCGCCATGAGCCTGTGCGTGTCCGTGGCGCTCGCAGCGCGCTCCATGCACGTGGACATCCGCCGCGGCGGCATGGTGCGCGACTGGCAGCGCGTCAGCGACGAGCCGCGCGCCCATTTCCACACATCTGTGCTGCTGCGCCCCGTGGGGGGCTACCACGTCGCCTCCACTCCTGATGGCATCGCTCTGCCTCGCCAGCTGCCCCCAGGTGACGCATGGTGCACATACGCTCAGAAGCATGCTTTTGTGGGTTCCAACTCCTGCACTCCCTCCATGTTGATTTCCTGATGCCGTGCGGTCATGGGTGCGTGGGTGCAGGGCGGTATTCCGTGGGGTGGCGAGTGAGGGCGCAGTACGTGGCGCCAGACCTGATGTTCCACGCCGACTCCACCTTCTCCATCGACAACAGCTCCGCCATCTGGCGCCGCCACTGCCAACCACTGACTGCCACGTGGCAGATCCTCAGTGTGGGAGACGTCCTGCTGCCATCAGCTGCTGGTGAGTGCCGCCCTCCCCAGGTTTCAAGATTGCCTCTCTTGTCATGGTCTGTGTGCACACCATTTATTCTGCTGCGGCGTGGTTCCTTACCACTGTGTCACCATCCACCTGCTCTCAGTGTGCGCACATGTGTCACCCGTGTGCTGCCATATCTGCATGCTTGCCTGTATGTCGCCCACAGAGCAACCGGGCAGTGACAGTCCCCAAGCGATGATGACCGCGGAGCTGCTGCAGCTGCAAGGGAAGTGGCCGCAGCCGCCTGTTGTGATAGACTGCATTGTCTTGCAGCAGCGCACGGGGTGATTCATGCCATCGGTGCAATATTTGTGCAGCAAGCTACGTAGTATGCACCTAGGCAACAGAGTGTTGTGCTGGAATAGCTTGTGTATTGGCATCTATAGTGCCGCATCCTGTAAAGCAGTTTTGCTCCATGGACACCCCATTCCACTCCCGCTAGCCTCTTTTCATGCCAGCTGTTGGAAACAATAGTTCCTAAGCGCCTCTGTCGTGTCGAAACACTAAGGCACAAACGAAGCAGGGCATATCGAGGCACCAGCGAGTCAACCCTCGGAGGTTGAAGTAACCGCTGGAGGTTACGCGAAAGTCGAAGGTCAGCGACCTTTGACCTGACAAATGCAGCGCGACAGCAAGGACACACAACTGACTCGTTACAGAGCAGTTGCCCGAGTCGTCACTGTATCGAACCGCAACAGCAACAGTAAAGTAGTTATAACCGTGTCTCTTCATATTCTCTGTATTCATATATAATCTTGTATCTCTTTGCTTTAATAAATTTACTTTGCCCTCACATACTAGCGCAAGTGGTTCACAACAGGCCCCTAGATTCGTTTTGAGGTAGTCTGAGGCCTCAGAGTACACCGCTCTTCCTAGTCTGGCTGTCAGAGTGACCTGATTTTTTAAGTCTGAGATTTCATACTACACTTGCATTTCTAGGCTGAACATACAGAGTCAGTCAATTTTCCTGTTATAATGAAAACACTAAGTAACCTTCTTACATTTCTTCTTGATAGTCTAATACAAGTTCACGTTCTACTACTGCCTCGTCTACAGGCTCCTTCCCAGCCCACGAGGGCTCCTCTCTGTGCCTTGCAGCAGGTGCTGTGATGTGACCGGCCGGCGCTTCTTGTAGCTGCGCCATATCTCTACTACTCCTAGGACATCTAGCTCATAGTCTAGGAGTGAAATACAGAGCAGATCACTCAGCCTACAGTCCTTAATGCTGCCCCTCTGCCACGTTTTGATGAGATTATGTCGGGAGAAACCGCGCTCGCACTCGACCGTGCTGAGAGGCAGCACCGCAATTGCCACCCACAGTCCGACCAGGTTGGGGTACGCCTGCTGCCAGTCGGGTGTCCTAAGCATCGCACAAAGTCCCGTGTGGAACTTGCGCTCGCTCTTGGGGGCTCTGGCAAGGACCGGACACAGTGTGCGCAGCTCCCTCACGACTTTTTTCTTGTCAATGCCTGCAAGGCAAAACGAGATACGGGTTTAGTAAACGAGCCATAGCCAAAGGGGGAAAGGGGCGGGGTGACACAAAACCATACCAGGTAGTATCTCGTCGGCTTCATCTGCGCGAAACAACGTGACAAGCGACATCAGCCACTCCACGCACTGTGCCTACCGTGCGTCCCGGTCCCAGTGAGGTTGCCACATCTCTGGAATAAACAGCCGCACTCCGGAAAGTGAGTCAAGGTCGCCGAGCTTGGACTGGAGCTGCTCGACAACGAGCTCGGCCATGTCGGTGCAGAGCGCAACGCAGACGTGGTGATGACCAGGCCCACGATAGCTTGGGTTTGTGCGTTCGTGAAGATTCACCTTGAAGCGGTTCATACTGCCGTCGAACGATGCTCCTTCCACCACCATTTCTGGTGTCCCTCCCGGACCGTGCTTCTCAATGAAGCGGTAGAGCCTCTCGGTCGGCCCCCCCCCGAAGTCGTCTCCACAGTCGACGTACCGAGCCTCCAGGATCGGTGTGGTGCGCACAATCTGCGTGTGCACCAGCGCGTAGTTGAGCTGCATCACAAACATACAAAGAGAATTAGTACAATGGGTCTCGGACTTAAACCAATACAATCTAGACCCTCAAATTCACTTACTTCTCGCTTCTGAAAAACTGAGGAGAGGACGTTGAGCTGCTCCAGCATGTCCGCGAGGAACCTGATGAGGAACTGGAACCTGTACGACGTGACGAGTTCGTACATGGTCTGGTCCTTCCACTCCGACAACATGACCATGATGGCAGGTAGGACTTGGACGAAGCGGGCAACTGCAGCTCCTCTGGACAGCCACCGCACGTCGTGTATGCCTTGGACCTCGAGGATGGTGGACGTGAACACCTCCTGGAGCTCCATGAAGCGCTGATGCCACGGCCCCGATCGCCCGAGGTACTCTGCGACCGCGCGGATCACGTCGTCGACCATGTTGAAGGTGGGTATCTTCTCCGCTGCGGCCTTGGCAGCCAAGGCCTCCCTGCCAGACAAAACCACACATGCACAGTTGGTTTTTCATAAACAAACAGATTTGTCGTTTACACATGGCGTTAAAACACAAACGCACCTGTGAGCGATGCAGTGAAACGAGACCAGGTTGGGGATGAGCATTCGCAGACGAGCAACCACACCGTTTTGACTCCCCACCATTACAGAGGCGCCATCCGTGCTCACTCCCGAGATACGCCGGACGTCAACACCGACTGCCCTGAGGTGGGAAAGCAACAAACTACACAAAGATGCAGCGTCAGCCCTATCAACCGTTAAATGCGCGACGAACTCAGTGACAACTCGGCCTTCGCGGAGAAACGTGGCAAACACAATCATGTGCTTGCCGCGCCGACGGTCGGTGCTCTCATCGAGCGTTATCCCGATGAAAGGGCTCGAGAGGAGGTGCTCCAGTTGCGTTGTCTAAAGCCATGTCGCAATGGCTTGAGTGAGCTCTCCAAAGCCGTACCTACAGAAGGAAGACAAGGTCGTTAGTGACGGTCAGCAAGGATACAACGTTGTACACACGGGACACACATAAGAATTTACGTACGTGTTATAGTATGTGTCGTATCCCTGCTCGGGAAACCCGGGCACTTTCTTCTTCGCCAGGTAGCGCACGAGCCGGATCCACGAGTCCATGGGCTCGTTGCACTTCCCCATGAAGTACAGCGCGTCGACGAGCGACGACACCTGCAGCAGCTCCATGTCTTGCGCTTTCGGGTGCATGTCGATGCGCTGCTGCCGCCCGTACTTCTGCAACAAATCCTCCTGGCGCTGCAGAGCAAATCGGTGCTTCACCGTCCCTTCGTGCTTCTTGAAGGACTGTGTCTGCACGTCTATAGCTCCCTCGGTACGCCGCCCACACTTGCCTTTCAATCCCGCAAACTCCAGGCAAATACTGCACTTGAAAGAAGGGGCACCAGAAGAGGTCTTAGTTAGAACAAGCCAACTGTAATCGGTGGACCACTTCGATTTGAATCTCTCATGCGCTTCCTCGTATTTCAACTCAGGATTATCGGATTTGGGCTTTGAGCTGTCCTGCGTGGGCCTCGGGCTGCCCTGCGTGGGCATGGAGTTGTCCTGCATGGGAGAATCGTCGCCCGCAGGAGTCACAACGGTCGATGGAGGAGGCGGAGTGGCCCAACCAAGGGTGGACTGCCGGTACCGCAGCTTCGACGGTGGCGCGGGACGAGAAGGTGCACCAACAGACGCCTCATGGGGCACCGCCTGTTGCGCAGCGGTCGCTGGTTCAGTGACGGCCTCGTGCAGAGGTGTGGTGTCTCTGGGAATAGGTGGGCGGCTCGAGCTAGGTTGCGACGGTGGCGTTGGAGGTGGATTGTGCTTCAGTAGGACAGACCTAAGAAATTCTAGACCGGTGAGAGGGTCGGATACTGGGCCGGATACTGGGCGACCGACTGCATCATCCTCGTCGACGGGCCCATCCGCGACAGCCTCTGTAACTGCCATTGAGCGTGCCGAGCAGAGGTGTAGCAAGCTAGGAGGTGGGAGCCTGAAATAAGGGCTCCTACACTAGTTTGAGTCCAGGCAAATGGAGCGGGCCATGAGAGAGACTGCAAGAACGGTGACCGAGAAGAAGATGAGAAACCCTCGTGTAATAGGACCTCCCATCTCCCAGAAGGTCATTGCATGCACGGCACCTGGGCGTGAATCCTTGGAAGGTGGGGTGATTGGGGTTGATGGATGGAGTCACGTGAGAGAAGCAACGCGGTGCGAGCCCTGCGTTGGCAACTGGGAAGGTGGGGTGGGGTGGATGGACGTGGTGACGTGAGAGTGGCAGCGCGCTGCGAGCTATGCGCTGGCAACATTGAAGGCGGGGTGTGGTGGATGGTCGTGGTGTACAACAAAGGTGCAGTGCGTGGCGAGCTATGTGTTGGCAAGGAATCTTGCCAACATTGCCTGCGGCGCAGCCGCGATTGGTCAGAATTGGGTGGGATTACAGCAACGCTGTACCAACGCAACTGTGCGTTGTCGCGCTGGCGAAATCGTGGGTTCCCGCCCGTGATTGACGGGGTTACTGCTCCACGCCGCCAGGCTGGACCCTGCCCCTATATTATCGGATTCAGAATGCACCCCCGATACAAGTCTGAGGCACAGCCTACACAACTAAAAATAGTCTGAATTTAGAGACAAGTATGTTAAAAAAACTCTGAAACATCAGATAAGGCCCCACCAAAAATTCTTAGAGTGCAGACTAGGTACCAAAAAAAAGTATGAACTAACTCTGATTCAGACTCTAAAGTCGGATATCTAGGGCCCTGGTTCACAAACTCTTTATTAAGACGCTTCCGCTACTACATCAACTCTACCCAAAATTCACCTCTGCAAAGATCTTAAGGGCTTTTTCAGCCCAACATGGTATGAGAGCTATCAGGGGGAATTCAACTTATATACCAACAGTGTCAATTAGCATGGCTACACAAAAGGGAAGGAGCAACTCCAACGGATCCCAGGGCACTACTCCTACTCCACCTCCTGCCTCTGGCCTACAGACAGAGGAGGGCACAGCAACAAGACCCAGAGCAACATCTACTGAGATTCCCGCAAATCATCCTGCGGACTTCGACCAGAGCATGATGGAGAAGTTCTTCTCCTTCATGTCCTTCTACGAGCAACACCAGCAATCGGCACCTGCGCAATCACACAGCAGCAACAACAACGGAGCAACACCCATGAGTCTCGACGGCTCATCGTATGCACGAGGAAATCAGCAACAACAGCCTACCTTTGCTCCGTACGAGCGCGGATCCATCAGCTTCATGCCACACCCACAGCCCTCACCTG